AGCTCACGTTTTTATTCTTAAATAAAAAATCATTTTTTTGTATTAGATCTTTTTAAGTGAATAAGAACCATTGAATGGCCGATGGGTCCATGCTGATCGCTTTCCATTCTTCAGCGTATCTTAGCTAATCCTCGGCATGCAAGACCTATGGGTTGGGGGAACAACCTGTTTCCATGCTTAAGGAACCGATAGGGTTTATTTAACTACATGCATAGATAAATCAAGTTAGACTGCTGAACGTTTCCATAACTGAAACTGCAATGATTAACAAAGCTAACTGAGTTATTTTCCAAATATTCATTCTTTTGGGCACGTGAGGAGGACTGCAGGAAGGCATTGGACGATTACAGTAAAAAATGAGGATGCAAGTGTCGTTGCTCTCTGACACATGGACAGGTTGAGCTGTGGAGTGAGGGAGTAATGTGGGAGATACTCCACTCTCCCACAGGTGACCGATTACCTGATCTGAAATAGCCCCTAAATCGAATGTGAGAGGTCTTGAATGGCTGCCAGGCACGTTAGGAGCAAAACTTGGTGCAAAACGGACCTAGCTCTTGGGCAAAGACATGCCTGAGAGGTCATATTTCCAGCCCACGATGGCTCCCTTAGTCCAACAAAGTAATGTGTATATACCAACATTGTGTTGACCTCAGAAATCTTGTTTTTTGTACCTACAGATGGCAAGAGACTTCTATACAAATTTGACCAGAAATCTATATATAAGCGTATAATTATAACATGGCCCTATTTAAGGCTGCGGCAGGCACTCTACGTTTAAAATAAACGTAAGAGGAGGTCAGGATGTTTTGCAGAGCTCGATGTCTGAAACAACAATTCTGACCCAGAACGGAGGCACGTGTTGTTGCCCAAAAGAAAAGCCTCAAAGCATAGACATGGGCCGCTGCCCAAAAGCGAGGCCTGTGTTGTCAGAGGGAGTTTGCTGAGGCTTGTTGTAAGAACGCTTGTGTGTCTGAATAACTGAAGCTTGTTGTTTTTGAATTGGAAAAAAGGGCGTTAATCTCTGCAGTCACAACTCGCCTCACAGGCCCTTGCCCCATCCAGGTCCTCCATGCAACGCAGTCAGTTGAGGGGTGAAGAAAAGCAGTTGGAAAAGCAGTTGGCCGGTGGAAGGAGGAGCGTGGCGGATCACGAGATGCTTCCTGCTGTGCAGGCACGGCACTTAGTTCCTCTTTTTGGTCGCGGTGGTGGTTTTGTTTTTAACACTGGTATACTGAAATTAGGAACCTTGTAACCCTGAAGGAAGTGGTGATGTATCTCCAGAAGAAGTGATTTGGACATCTGGAAGAG